TCTCTCTCTCTCTCTCTCTCTCTCTCTCTCTCTCTCTCTCTCTCTCTCTCTCTCTCTCACACACACACACACACACACACACACACGCACACACACATACACACACACACATTGTGGCTCACTCATCGAACCGCATGGACGAGGATGGGCAGTCCTGATACACTGATAACTTGGATGAATAAAGTGCATTTCTGCTTTCTGGACAGTTTTCGACAATCTGGCTTTCAATGTGACTTTGCAATCTGGAATGCTGTAATTTCGGTATTGCTCATTTTCTGTTGCACTTGTTTGAAGTTTCATCTTTTGTTTTTGTTTTTTCTCTGCTCTTCTTGAATTTGTTGAGATTTCTAATGGAGTAGTACTGTAGTAGTCAATAAACCTCTTCCAAGATAGACAGAGAAAAGCCAAGCAACTGAACGCAGGAGGTCCCTGTTTTTTTTTTTTTTTTTTTTTGTCTTGTTTAAAGAAAAAACACCGGCGTCTGGTGGAGGGGGGGGGTGCTGGTGCGAGCAGACACTCCCTCTACCTCCTGCTGGATGGCTCCGTTCCATTGGTGGGGAGCTGCACCTGCTGGAAACTGGGTCCAGTGTCACTTTACATTATCATGAACCAAGTAGTTTGTTATACAGTTGGTTAAGCCGATATTGGGACCAAATCATATTTGTCTTACAGAGGCGGCTTCCTTCCTTGTATCCGCTTGCAGGAAGGAAGGGCCATGGCTGTGCTCTCTTGAGGTGCTCCACTCCCCTTCCCGGGTGTTGTTGTATCACAGCTGTTGTTGTCCTTTTAACTCCGCTCACTTGTTGATGTTGAGTTCCACAGGCTGTGCTCGGCAAGTGTCTGTTTGGTCCTTTCAGTCCCTCTTTGTTCCTCTCCCTTCTTGCTGTAGCTTTGTGTCATTTCTGTTGTTTGCAGTCACTCGCCTTCACAGACCTTCCTTGCTCCAGCCTCTGCCCTTGTGTCGTGGTGAAGGCTGGTGAGATATGTGCGTGTGGGGGAGGGAGAGAGGGGGGAGCAGGGGGAGGATGGAGGAGGTAGGAAGGGAAGGGACTGAGACAGAGAAGGGAGGGATGGTTGCAGAGTGCAACCACCCTACAACGAGGAGAGGCCAGTGGGAGTTATGTTACAAGCACGAAGTTGGGCTGCAGGTAGGGGACCTGGAAGCAGTGGCTGGGTCTCCTTTGCCATGATGGCTCTGGGCTTCTCCATTGCTTCCACCGAATGTCAAGTCCGGTGTCCAGTTCGGAGAATATTTGGCGCGGATCCTGCCAAAGTTGGAGATAGGGCTCCCTAAGGGTGTCCTTAACCGTGGGATCATTCTCCTCCTGGTGGTGTCGTATGAAATCTTTCTAGGCCACGTGTGTATGGGACCTGATTTCCTCTTCGATTACTTGCCGGGCTTGCAACAAGTCAAATCTGGTGGTCCCTTCGTTCAAAGGAACATCTGGCTCTCCAGGCCAGCATAAGGGCTTGCAGTCTCATATAAGAGAAGAGGCTGGTTGCATAGGGGGGGCAGTGTGTGTCTCTAAATGCTGTTTTTTGCCCAAGCAGCAGGAGTCCTAGGTCTCAGGGGATTTGCAACGCTGTGAGGGAGTGGAAAGCCGCATCCCACCACTGCCATAATTGGGTGACCATCAGGCATGCCAACAGGCAATGCTCCAGACTGAGTGTTGCCCGGGCCGGCGGTGATGACCTGCCACAGTAGGTGCAGATAGGTGACAACAACCGTTTTTGCCCTAGGTCTGTTTGGGATACTAGCCAATCAGGGGTGGGCAGACAGCGATGGAGAATTTGCCATTGCAGGGCTCGCAGGTTTTTGGGCATGATCTTAGCGTACTTAGTCCAGGGCGGATTGTCTATCATCTGTGGCTCCAGGGGTGAGTCTCGCTCCCATCTCGTGGATAGTGATAGGTTTATTGTTGAGGTGGTCCGCGAGGCCCTGTAATCCCAAACATGCGTGGGTTTCGAACCAGGGCATTCCCACTCGAACGGGTCGAATGGCAGGTTGGCAACCGGTATTGTGGGTTCAAATACCCCACCACTCGTACATCCAGCACCCCCCCCAGCTTTCAGTCCCGTCCAGGTTGTCGTTTCTCGTAAGTTTGAAGAGTCTGGCACCTGGCACGTGGGGGTCATACACTTCCAGTGTGCATTGCCCATTTCCATTTCTGTGGACTCTGGATCCCTGTTCTTTACACGTAGGGTGGCGTTTAACAAACATTTTTATGCTTTCACGTGCAATGGCCTGCTACCTTGAGTGATTGTACGCTTGGGTATGCTTTGACAACTTTAAACCACCAGTACATTTCCCAGCTATTTTGTTCCGACATGGCCGTTAATGTCATGCGTCCTTGGGGACTCAGCCTACTGAATGGAAAAGGCTATTTTTTTGGCAAAAGGTGCCATAGCAGAAATTAGCATCCGGGAAAAAATTGACGCTCAGATGTCCTTGTGGTTTAAGCGCGGTCTCTTGATGGCATGCCTTGTTGCCTCACAAGATGCCTTGCAACATGTGGTGTATGTCTTTCTAATGGTCTTAATGCTTGATGCATCGCTTACTATGTGCTCCGCAGTGACTGACTAGTAAGAAAAGAAGCCCCACCGTCGTTTTCTCTGTGCATTGCATGTGTCTTTGCATTTACTTCTTCATCTCTTAGCTCCTGCTGAGTTGCCCATCTTGCTTGGAGCTAGCAGTTGTAGATCATTCAAACCCCTTGACACTATTTTGGACAAATGGGAATCTTTTGCTGAAAAGAGCTGGCAAACTGAATATTGCTTGCATTGCCTTGCAATCCATTGTCGGCCGCATGGGTCCCACCCATACAATGAGGCCTTGGCGGCCAACCTTAGAGCCAACCGGAACATCAGTAGAATCAGGACGACCTCCATCCCACAAGATGCATTGCAGGTGTGCTCGTTGTTTGCAGACGACCTCACCTTGATGGTGGAGGCCTTCACTCAAAATATGGAGGAAATTGAAAGGTTGATGGCCCGGTTCTGCTCCCTCTCTGATATGGCAATTAACTGGGGGAGAAAAACATTGGGGTGGTGGATGCATCATGACGGAGGCAAACCTCCGGAGAACCCAAAGGTGACATGGCTCCCCCTCGACACCCCCATCAGAGTCCTTGGAATCCAACTCTCAGCTGAAGGAAAACCGGTCAGTAACGATAATTGGATAAATTGAAATGTCTCCAGCCCTGCAAAAGTTGGGGACATGGAAGGATAAAAACACATGACTCATCCCTCTTGGGAAGGGCCCTAGTCATTAATCATGTGGTTTCACTCTGGTATAAATCGGCAAATTTGACCCTTGACCAGAGAGGCTTCAAAGGCCTTGAGACGGCATGTAGCTGCCTTCCTATGGAGACGTAACCATGAAAACTACCATACCATTAGTCGGGTGGCCTGGGATGCAGTGGTGCAACCAAGGTCACAAGGTGGCCTGGGGATACTCGACCCAACCACTCAAACGATTGCTCTTTCACTCCAATGGTTGAAGCGGCTTATCTGCAGCCCCGGACTTACTTGGGAGCCCCTGGCCTGGGAAGAACTCTCAAAACTGGCACCAGAGGCTGCTTCAACCATACACCCGATGGCATGGTTAGACGATGTCTTCTGGGCACTTCCCAGACCCCATACCCGGCCACAACCACACTCAGATCGGACGACAACTCGTAAGGATCAAAGGAAAGATGGATTCTGGATTGACCTAATAAAGGACTGGAGGAGGCTCCCGCTTCCGGATAGACCGTTCTCTGAACGCTAGGAGGAGGTTCTGCGCCAACCCCTATTTGAAAACAGATGGGTAACAAATCAGCAGGGGCGGGTTCTTCTCAGCACCAGCCGCCCATGGAAGGGATGGGTAAGAAATGGGGTCATGAGGGTAGGGGATCTCTGGACCAAACTAGGGCTAACAGGATCACAGAGGAACAACTGAGAACAAAGCTCCCCCACTGCCAAAGAATAGGCGAGAGGCTAGACCAGATCCTATTCGCTCTCCCTCTTGCATGACTGAGGACCCTTCGGCGAGGACCAACGGTGGAGGAAGGTGACTGGGTTGTATTAAGAGGGGATGCAACGCGGGTGGGACAAATAATTATTCGCAGACCAGTGGAAGTGCTGGTAAACTTTTTCTACCGAACACAGCAGAATGGATTGATCAGGGGAGGGCCAGATGAAGTCTTCTGGATCGATGTTGGAATACTCCATAGAGTGAGGGTCCTACGAGATGGGGATTCCTGGGTGGCATTCAGACCGGAGGTACCAATCCAGAACCTCCCCTTAGATGCTATCGAGTGGAGATGGAAGATTTCCACAAGGAACGGTGTACCGAAATATCGATATCTCCACTCACTGGGGGTTAAGGCCTCCTATCGGATGCTTAGGACCAGAATCAACCTGAAAGACCGTAGAGTGGATCGCTGGGCAAGGCATTTAAATGTCCCATTGAGTTCATTGAAACCCATCAAATGGCTTAAAGGGATAAAAGCCAAACCAGCCAAAACTGCCTCACTCCAATGGCAAATCACCCATCGCTGCCTACCCACAAATGCATGGCTCATTGACCAAACCCACCTGGAACAGAAAGGTGTGACCCTCCCTTGGTGCCTGGCCTACAAAGAAGGATTTCCCTCCAAAAAAGTTAAACCACCAGTACCTCTCCCTGCTTGAGGAAATCGACGCAGCGGTTAACGCGCCGCGTCGCGCG